ACGATGTTGATTAAATTTTGTTGTTTTCTTTTTATTTATACGATGACGGATATGATGTCGTGTTGTTATACACGGTAGACAAAGTTTACGAAGTGTTGGCGACGACAGTTTGATATTATTTCTTTTTGTCGTAGAATATCGATGTCGTTGATCATGCACGTTAACAACAAATATATAACGTACTGTATTTGGACGGCACAAAATATGTGGTGAAATCGTGCAGAGGATCAAACGACGTGATTGATGATTAATAGAAAGAATTGTGATGAAAACAAGACAAAAGAAAAAGAGTGAAAGCAATAGAAAATATTAAACAATGACAGGTAGTTTATCTTAAAAACAAGGACAATAATGCCGATGATGATATACACATAGATGAAATAGACCAATTTGACTCGACAACGTTCCACTGTTCTTTATATTTAGTACAAAGAACAGCATTCTTTTTCATTAACATGACAGCGAGAGTATTTTCTCGTTCTATGTATTCTCTGTTCCATTTATGATATTTGTTTCTTGTAGCTGACAAAGTGAGCAAGCAGAGTAACAGACAAGAAGCTAGCGAAAGAAAGAGATTCTAAGCAAAAAAAACGACATGTTCTCTCTTCCCTTTCTCTCTCTCTCTTTCTCTCTTTCTTCTAGTAGTTTGCTGAGTGACTAGTCGCTGAGACATCACTGACATGCATTATCATTACTATCATCAAAAAACGACTCATCGTTGTTAGTACCAACAGATAGATTCAATTTGCATTAACGAAATCATAAGCTAACCAGGCTGCAAAAACACATAGTGTGCATCAGATGTGTTAATGTTGTCTACGAAGAGAACACTAAATCTTTTTATATACTCCATTGCTTGTAATGCTATTGTTGATGTCTATGTCTTTCTTTCTTTTTTTTTTTTTGCAACTGACATTTGATTCTTTTAAGAAATTTGATCTTGATCTGTCAAAAAAGCCTTCAAATGCATTATATTACTCAGAAAATTTAACGATATATCAATGAAATATCTAGAATATAATTGAAGATTATATTTTCTCAATAAATCGAATTTTAATAACTGGTTAATTATAAAAAAAAAAAAAAAGAAATTGAAAATTTTCTTCTTGATATCATTGCGCAGTAAGCATGTGTAAATGAATTTGCACATAACTGATTACTTGCATGCATGCACAGGATATTGATTTTGGTCCCTAGACGAATCAACGCTCTTCCTGTATGTGTATGTATGTGTGTGTATGCGCGCGTATATATATATATCTATATCTATATGAGTTTAGATAGACAGAAAACGGTAAGCAAATTTATACATGGCATTTATCGATCAATACAACAGATACATAGAAAAGCGTGTATCGATAAATATCGTACAAATTGCCCTTATTTGTGCGTTCATCTATATTGTCTAGAAGAGATTGACAGTTTCGACATTTGTTTAATCGATCTATGTCAGTCGAAACAAGATCATTCTGTGAACAAGCTACTAATGAAATATTGATGACTTTTATGAAACGAGTAATGTAGATATAAAAAATTGATTGTCCTTGGCAAAAAACAAAAAAAAATGAGAAACGTCCACACTCTTAAACGGCATTCCGCTTGTCATTCAAGCATATACATAATGATTCAAATACTTATAGTAATAACAAAAATACACTACATATTTGACAATAAATGGGATTGTTGATCGTTAATCTTAACCATCTTATCATTCTATGTCTGTAAGAATGTATGTATACGAATGTTTAGTGTACAAACAAATAAGACCTAAAAAACGATTAGGAAATAAAAAAAACGAGGTTACGTCTACTAAGATAAACAAGTGTATATGTGTTTTAACAGATTGATTGAGTTGTAATTACAAATGACATATGTAAAGAGCAACACCTTAGTTTCCTTGATATGATAAATTTATTTTTTATTATAATTATTTTCTACTAAAAATAGGTATCAATATAATATATATATATAGAAACTTACTTGATTCGTATTAATAGGAAAATTCGATATCTGTACAACTGGCTTTATATTAATAGATGAAGTTGAAGCAATTGATATTTGTTGATTAGGAATATTCGATGTGTCACAGGAGGGGATGACATGATGACGATGACGTGTAACGTCTGTTGTATCTACGGGTGAAGACGATAAAGTAACGACAGCTGCTGGTTTTGACGACTGATCACAAGCAGGAATACTAAGTCGTTTAGCTGGTAACGAGTTATTTATCTGATCGTCTGAACGAATACTTGTTGTTCGACTATATTTTCGAGTATAATACTAAAAAGAAAAAAAAACAAAATAAGAGAATTTACGATCTATATAGATGTCTATATTTACCATTTCCGTTTTTCTGACTAGAATGACATTCATTTAATGGAAAAGAAGAAAAAAAAAGAAAGTAGGTGAACACAAAAAAAAAAAAA